GCTCTTACAGTTCAGAATCGAATCTTGTTCCGTTCTTCTTGGAGCATGGCTGCTATAAGTGGCATCTGTGCGCTCAGACGGGACCTCATTAGAAGTCTCCTCTGAAAATGATGGCAGCGTTGAGGATACAATAGATGAGGCAAACATCACTCTGGAGGCTCTGCAGTGTTCAGTACACAGAGTGAATATTAACCCCTTCCCGCCGGCTGTACACATTTGGCAGCACGGAGGTGGGCTTCATTCCCTGCTGTCACATATGTGTGCGCTCCCAGCACCGTGACCACCTTGTCACTGGCAGCTTCCGGTCACAAAGCAACTGTTGGGCTCCCAATCGTGGTCACATGATCAGGCAGGAGGGGTTAGCAGGAGGGGTTAAATTGTATCTAAACCCCAACTATCAAATTATTTGCTCCCTTTTAGCCGGTTAAATACAGCGAAATCGTTTTGTTATAGCTGTTTTTTCTTTGTGTATTTTCTTCCAGATCTGTGCAGTAATCCTGTGTGAGAGCTTCCTGTAATAAAGACTGGTCACTGCTGCTCTCTCTCCTTGTGCAGGGTGACTGGTCTTGTCTCCACCCTCTCCTGTAATAAAGACTGGTCCCTACTGCTCTCTCTCCTTGTGCAGGGTGACTGGTCTTGTCTCCGCCCCCTCCTGTAATAAAGACCACTTACTGCTGCTCTCTCTCCTTGTGGAGGGTAACTGGTCTTGTCTCCGCCCCATCCTGTAATAAAGACCAGTCACTGCTGCTCTCTCTTCTTGTGCAGGGTGACGGGTCTTTTCTCCGCCCCCACTTGTAATGAAGACCGCTCACTACTGCTCTCTCTCCTTGTGCAGGGTGACTGGTCTAGTCTCCGCCCCCTCCTGTAATAAAGACCGGTCACTGCTGCTCTCTCTTCTTGTGCAGGGTGACTGGTCTTTTCTCCGCCCCCTCCTGTAATAAAGACCAGTCAGTGGACCATGCCTGCGCAATGTGTGTTGCAATGAGCATTGATCTCGGCAGAAGCCCGTGCGTCAAAGTAACACATGGACACAGACGGGAGAGAGGGGCAGAGAGTTGTCACCCTCTAACTGGAAGTGCCTGAATCAAGACCTCCATGTCAGATGACCAGATATTTCCTGCTTTCATTTTAATAAAGGCCAATGAGCAGGGGCGTAACTAGAAATCACAGGGCCCCATAGCAAAATTTTGTATGGGGCCCCGTTATTTCTAGTTATACCCCTTGCAGAGCCCACTCGAGATCCCACCTGAGGGTGACCCTGCAGAGCCCACCATATACTCTCTATGGTGGGCTCTGCAGGATCACCCTCAGGTGGGCTGGTCGCACTCCTTACCTCCTCCGACGCCGGGCCCGCCTCCTTCTGCGTCACCGAGGCCGCCTGCTGCTGAGCATGGGCCCGCCTCCTTCTCCACTGCCGATGACGTCAGAGGCTC